ACCCTGCCCACATTAGTCCACCTTCTGCCAAAGTACCTAATAGATCTCTTCCAGCTCATACTCCTGTGACTTCTCTAATTTCATTTCAGTTTCTAACTTCTAGGGCTGATTTTATGGTTAAAGCACAACCCCTCAGTTTGATCTCTGGCATGCATGGTGAATGCAAATAATCCACTCTTAGGCTGGCGTCACATACTCTTTGTTGTGCATCCAAAGCAGCTGCTTTGACCAGCGTGAAGATTGAGGAAGAGGAGGTGAAGTTGAAACACTTTGTTTTGGCTCAGTTTGACACTGAACTGCATCAGCCTGAGCTGTGGTAGTGCCTTGTGGGAGCTGTAGTTGAGGATCTCTGAGGGGGTTTACACACCCCACACTAATGCCGAGCCAGGGGAAGGCAAGAGCTGGTGTTGGGCCTGGAAGGCCCAGCCCCTCAGGCACTGCGGAGCATGGTCCTGGAGAGCTGATCAGTATAAAGCGAGCTCCAGCTGCCTGGGGGTGGGGAAAGAGAAGAAAGGCCATTCCCTGGAGGAGCAGCTGTGAGTCACCCTCAGGCACCCCATATGAAGGAGGGAGAGGCAAAACCAAGAGCACAAGAGGGCTGCAGGCATCGGCCCTAGACAGTGGGGATTCTGAAGTAAAGTTTTTAAATCGTCTATGACCACACCCCAAACTGAGATGCAGGGTGTGATAGGAAATGGCTCTGGAAAGGTAAGCCAGGGGCTGGCCGAATCTAGGCGATCTCACACTGCTGCACTTTCAGGGCCCTGGGCTGGGACCCAGTGGAGAGGGAGGGCCTAGGTTCCTTTTCCCATCCTGGAGCTACAATGCCTGGTCTCAAGGAAGGCAGCGCTAGGGGTTACCAGCAAACAGGCCAGTCCTGTCTGGTCCTTGTCTGGAGGGCTGGGACACCTGGAACTCATAGAAGGACTGGAGTTGGAGGCCTAGACCACTAGGTCTACTGACCAACCAAACCACCCTGCTACAGTGCCTCTGTCCCCAATCTCCTCTCTTAGAACTCCCTGGCCAGACTTGTATCACCCATGATGTCCATAACCATCAGACTCCTGTGATGCACTGTGGCAGTTCAGCCAGAAGAAAATTGATAAATGTCAGCAAAATTGAAATAATAAATTTTGCAAAAACTGTATTTTCCATAAAAAACAAAACCAACAATTAGATGGGAAATTGCTGGCCAGCTCTGCTCATAACTAATAGATGAAGAGCTTGTCAGATCATTTTAGGGCAATTCCTTTTTGATTTATTCACACTTCATTTGTGACATGTGATCACTAAGTCACACCGTTTTGTTTCCTCTTCCTGATTGGATGACAAACACTAAAAGTGGAGAATTTAACCAGTAACAAATGCATTTTCTGGTACAAATGTTCAGGGAACTACTTAGTGATGCCAAAATTCATAGGATTCACAAACATTTTCTTAGCTACCCAGCTGTTATTCAGTGCTTGAGAACAATAAAACCCCACAAATCATAGCAAACCAAACTTGATATTTTTAGTCATTAGAATATTCACAAAACATTTTTATTGCTTGACCAAATTTACTTCGCTCCCTGCAACGACCAATGGGGCAGCATTCCCTCTAAAGATGAGAACTCCAGCATGAATCCATAACTTGGCTATAACACACTTTGGTCCAGTTTATGCGGGCAACATCAAAAGTTTATAACATGGATGGGCATTATCCTATTGATCTAGCAGTTTTTGCTGTGTAAATGAGTGCTTAGAAAGAAATACCACTCTGTGATCTACATGTGCTTGTCATAGATAAAAAGTAGTAGCTAATGATTTTTTAAAAGCAATCAAAAGGAGAACTCTCCTGACCTGTTACGTCCAGATTTTATTAATGAGCTGTTCCCCACGTAACAGCCACAGGAAAACCCCAGATTGGAGTTTCCTGAAGAAACTTGATTTTTCTCTCCGATTTTAGGCCCCATTTAAATTATGGATAAAAATGAGCCATCCCTGATCACCATTTAGTCACACTCCCCTTTGTCATGTGCCACAGGCTTTTCCAATCTCTGCTGTTTGGAGTGTAATAGAGGAGAGGGAGAGAAGGATGCTTTAAGCCAATCTGCTAAGAGCTGTCCTTGAAAGCCATCCTCAACCCTGGAGAGGCAGGGTCCCGGAGCTCGGGTTCCAGCCCAAGCCCCAACATCTACACAGCAATTTTTAGCCCTGAAGCCCAAGCCATATGAGCCTGAGTCAGCTGACCCAGACTGGTTGCAGCTATGCCATGGGTCTTTTATCCCTGTGTAGACATACCCATAGAAATGTAGAGCTGGAAAGGACTTGAGATGTCATCAAGTCCAGCCCCTGCTCTATGGCAGGACCAAGTAAACTTAGACCACCCCTAACAGGTGTTTGTTCAACCTGTTTTTAAAAACCTCCAATTATGGGGATTCCATAACCTCCCTTGGAAGCCTATACCTGAGATGAACTACTCTTATAGTTGGAAAGTTTTACCTAATATCTAACCACGTGAAAATATAGATCACAGAATATCAGGGTTGGAAGGGACCTCAGGAGGTAATCTAGTCTAACCCCCTGCTCACAGCAGGACCACTACCCAATTTTTGCCCCAGATTCCTAAATGGCCCTCCCTCAAAGATTAAACTCACAAGCCTGGGTTTAGCAGGCCAATGCTCAAACCACTGCGCTATCCCTCCCCCCAGGATAGGCACCTAGTGGGATTTTTCAAAAGCATATAAATAAATGAGGCACCTAAATCCCATTGAAATCAATGAAATTAGACCACTAACTTGCTTAGGTGCTTTTGAAAAATCTTGCTACGCACCTATCTGCAACGATAGGTGCCTAAATACCTTTGAAAATCTGGCCCCTGACTGCAATGGGCTTTGGATCAGGGTGCTTCAGTAGAGTGACACTGGTATACAATTGGAGTAAGTAACAAAGTGATGGATCAGGCCCATGGATTTTCACCTCTCTAGATAAGATTAGGAGCGTACTGAGCACACATTTCTTTTAACTTTTGGAGTGGTAGTATAATCTGTTGGACTAATTCTCCTTTCCGTGTTGGTGTAAATCAAAACTAATGTGAGAGGAGAATCAGGCCCTCTGCACTCAGCTGTAAGGCATTTGTAACTGTGAAAGCTTCCAACCAATTTTAAAAGAAAATATTGTAATTATGATGCAATGCCAGGTGAGTTACAGCTTAGATTACTATTTATTTTACATGGGGCCTGATCCTTTGCCTCCTGAATTCAGTGGCAAAACTCCTGTTAGTTTCAATATGAATATGTATAAAATCAGACACATGGCATATCAGCAACTTATCCCTCCTATAGCACTACTGATCTAAGGACATGGGACCTGAGTCTATTGTCACTGTTGTGTGTGGGGCCCATCTGACTGGGCTCCCTGTGCTTTTTAGCCTCCTTAGAGCACGGTTTGGGTACTGCCCCTGTTTGGAGTCTCTAGGCACATTCCCAGAGTGCAGATCCTCTGTCTAGCACCTCCTCTGAGAGCTAAAACCCCACAGTCTGACTACCCAGCCTCTGCGCTATGTGCTGACCTCACAGAGTCCCGTCCCCCCCCCCCACAGACTTTAAGAACACCCTCTCCCAGAACCTCATCCATGTGGGCAATCTGTGTTTACAGTTTAACT